TGAGTACTTCTGCCACCACTGACAGATTTTTTAGCAAGAATTAATGGTATTAGATCAGGAGGGTGTGACTCAATAAAAAACAACCAGCAGGATGTCACAGGTGTCTTTCATGAGAAAGCCCAGAGGCCTGCGAGGACACAGAACAACAATCAAAGGGATCAAAGGTCAAGCAACTTGTGGATTTAAAGGCCATCGAAGAGGGTCACGCAGAGCAACCTCCTCCTCCACACACACACACACACGCACACACACACATTCAAACAGTCAATTGTGTGCAGAGTTGTGGTGAATTAGGGAGGAAGTGACCATTGTCCGTCTGCCCTGAGGTCAGATCTCTTCATGTCACACTTAATATCTGACCTTTAACAGACCGAGCGCCATAATTTATTCACTCTTTTAGGATGTTTGTGTTTCCTAATGTGTTACTTTGATACACACAGTATGCATTATACACACATTATATGGACCAGGGACTGAAGTATGTTGTCTACTTCATAGTGATGAAGATTTTAATACCTGTTACATATTTTTACTTTAACTTTTCTGGTAGTCTGTGCCTTTTATAGCTAGTCATGTTCAGAATTAACTTCATCTTTACAATCTTACCTTACAATAACTTTGCCTAAATAACAGTCTAAACACATTTATTGAACCACAAATAAGATTAAAAAGTCAATTTGTAAAGATTTTGAAGTGAAGTAGAGACATCGTCACTGTTTCTAAACTGTAAATTTACAGTATTTTGTTTCAATAAAAAACAAAGTAATCACTTTTAATCAGACAATGAGTGATTTAGATTATAAGTAAAGAAGAGTGCAAACATTTGATGCCAACTTTTAGTAACTAACGGATTAAAGTGCTACAGATAAACCTGTATTTCAACATAATGCAGTGTTACATCTCCTCTCGTACGTGTAGTGAAGGTAAAATTTCTAAACATTTTAATAGTGTTCACCGGGATGTACAGTGTGCTCTTGTTTTCTTCTGAGTTGGTTGTTTTGCTCTTGTAAACTTCCGTTCATTTAGTGATGTTCTTCTTTCATATCAAAGTATCCTCTTCAATATTTAATGAACTTTTGTTTAGAACTGAATGAATGAGTCGATTTAATTGGTTTAGTTGGTCGACAGAAGATAAACTATTTTACTGTAAATAATTTATCTATTTTTTTGCCCATAAAGTATTTCCAGTTTCTGACTTTGTGAGCTGCTTTCATTTTTCTTATGTGACAGTAAATTGAAAGTCTTGGGTTTGTTGGACAAAACAAGCTATTTGAAGGCAGTACCTTTGACTTTAGTAAAGTGTGACAGGCTTTTTTTTTTTTTTTTTTTTTACATTTTACAGGATAAATGATCTATTAATGATAATTAACGGATAATGAAAAGACTTTTGTTTAATTGTCAGTTGTCTAAATCTGAATCTCACTACGCTGTGGGCTGCATTCAAAATAAATGTTAAATTCAAGTTTAACCTTCAGATTAAGAGAGAAAAGATGAAGCACATTTGACTGTTTGTGACCACTTCTGAACTTTCATTATAGTTGACGCATCTACAGAATTTTTTTTTTTTTCGTCTTTTGCGAGTTTCCCAACAGTAACAGGTAGATTTAGGCGGAGGTGTGGGGGGAGGGGGAGTTAGACATAGACACAGTTCAAGTCAGACAGGATTCATTCTGTCTTCATCACCTCATAATGCAGACGAGGATTTGCCATTGAACTTGAACCCAGTTCCCTCACAGCGCCTGAATTCACGCTGGCAGCCTCGAGCTCTCCAGCACCTCCCCCGTCCCCTCTCTCTCTCTCTCTCTCTCTCTCTCTCTCTCTCTCCCCACCGACCTCCCCCTCAGCACCGTGCCTGTCTTTGTGAAGCTGTCTTCCTTGACTTTCCGCATCCCCCGTCTGGCCCTCTGCAACCTCTCTTCCCTCTCTGCCCCCCTCCCCTCCCGCGCAGCCATTCTTCACTTCTGGGTTGGGGGGCTCCAGGAGACGGCCCACAGGGACTCGCAATACAGAATGCTAATCAGGCCCTCAGCGGCACTTCCCACGATTTTCCTCCCAGACATGAGCTTTTGTTTTGTTATTGATTCCATTATAATCAGACGGTTCTCGTAACTTTCCTGCTGTCTGGAGGCCTGTCTGCAGCGCCGACTGCAGCAGAGGGCCTACCTGTCATGTGGCCCTTCTCTCATTCATTCAGGATTTATGTTTTGCCTTTAGTAAAACAATACAAATTATCATGTTTACAAGATCTGCAGCGGTACTTGTGCTTGCAATAGTAGTGGGATTTTGCCCTCATTTAATACACTGCCAGTCAACAAAAGGCTTTGTGTTTTACATCTCAAGATATGATTTTAAATTGACTGCAAATACCATTTTATTTTGTTGGAAATGGACTAAATCTAACCAGAAGTGTTGATTCTTGATCGGTCTGTAATTTGGATTCTGTAACAGACAACCTACTGTATAATTTGTACAGCTGATACCAGTAGTGTGTGTTTTTCACACTGGGAGGTCTCCAAGATCTTTTTTTAATCAGACTTTCTGACTGTTTCTGCATGTAGTTTGATGAAACATTGTTTTGTTTATTGACCTTTAACCTCTTTTACGACAATGCCATGAAAACAGTTTAAGTAAAACAGCAGAGCCAATTAATAACAGACATAAACTGACATAAACGAGATCTAGGCTCAATGAAAGGAATCACAGGTGCATAGAAAATTATTATTATGAGTGGTTTTGAAGTAACAAAGAGGTATACTTGTTTTGATTATTTTAATGGTAATTTTAATGCCTCTTCCTAAGAGTAATAACAGAGCTCACATTTATCTCGTATGATGACTGTTTAAGTGCCTTTTAATTTTAAGCTTCCTACTTATTGTTAAGCTCTGAAACTGTAAATTCATGAACATGGGAAAGATCGGCCAGTTAAGCCTATAAAAAATGTGGCCAGTGATTAAGGCATTTTCCAAATATACATAAAATAAATGGATTTCAATCATAAATAATACTACATTTTCTACTAAACCCAGTCCGTACTCGTAGCCTGTGTGCATTTGTCATCAGACTGTGGCCAGTAAAGTCAACAACAAGCTTGTAGTGGTCTTGATATAACAAATGGATGACGTCATCTTGTTCTGAGTCATGTGGGCAGTGCAGTTAGTACATACACTCTGGACAACAGATGTTTGCTTGACACAAATATTATCCTCTTGATTTTTAATAATAGAAATGTGTGTCATCCTTTTTGGGCAGTGCACCTTCACTGATAGAAACCTTAATCAACACGTGTAAAAACAGCCTGATATAGAACAAAACGATTATCAAAATACTTTCTCAGTCTCTCCTGTAGTTTTCATTTCCGTCCTAAATAGTTAAAGTTGAGTTCTGCATTACGTTTGCCTCAATGACGACCACTTACTATGAATGATTCGTATCTGTCATATTATGCGTGAAACAAAAAAACTCGATGAGACCTTTTAGCCCCAGAGTGTTTGTGAGCTGAACGAGGAGCGTGTCCTCCCAGATGTTTCCAGATGCTGCATGCAGCGCAGCATCGGCAGCTGGATCCGCTGGCCTGCGCCTCCTTAAGAGCAGCTGTGCCATTCTGTCCCAGGCGCAACACATCATCCAGATGTGACTCCTCTGAAAGTGTACAGCGCGTGTAAACATTGATCAGTGATTGTGTTTATGAGGATGTTGTCTGTTTCCACCTCCAGACGTTTCTAATAAGGGTTTTGTGTAGTAAGTTGCTCAGTTATATATATATTTGTGCAGTTTAAAGTATAACTCTACAACAAAACCAAATGAAACCAGCAGAAATTCCAATAAATGACCAACACGTCACAAAATAGTTTAATCCAAATGTATCCATTTAAATTCACAACAGGGTGGTTTCTACTCATTACATGTAAGTTTATGTAACATTTCCCAGTCTGATACTTCTGTGTGATATAAAGAGAAGTCACCCTTAATAAGTCTGACTACTGGCATCATAACTATCACAAAATACATCCTCCATAGACGACACTGGTCTGAGTTAAACAAAATTTAGGGAAATTATACAGCACTGTACATCTTGTATTTTCACATTAAAATGATTTTTTACCAGCGATTGTTCATTTTGTAGGTTTAAAATGAGTGTAAATTAAACATGTGAGTGAATAAAAATTTTGATAAAGATGCACGCTCCAGTCTCAGTCCTGCAGGTTGCCATTGAGCAAGGCCGTGAACCACCAGCAGTTGAGCTTCTGTGTGGCTGATAACAGTAAAAGTCTGTGGTGTATGACACCAATGAGAGAAAGTGTTTAACTGACCTTATCATTCATAAATAAGTAATAATAAAAAAGTATTTAAAACCACTTTAAAGCACCCAGGTTGATGGTAACACATCATGAGAATGAACTGATCAACATCACTTGTAAAGTTTGTCAGGAACTTCATTTTACAATCAATTTTTTAATTATTGGTTCCCTCAATAAATGAAGCTTCACGTAGGATGTGTATCACTTTTTTTGTGGGGGCTGGGGTTAATTTCTATTGTTTCTTTCTATTTCTATCAATATTTACATAATTTGGAGACTAATCAGGCACAGAACAGGCTCAGACATCCAGCTGAGTAGTAGTATTAGTAGAAGTTTTGTCACCTGCCTGATACATTAGTGAAATATACTAAGCAAGAACCATTTTGAATGTTACATATTTAGTTGATTTTCAATGGCTTTAGGGTGTATTTACATAGTTAAAAGTTTAAATTGATGGTTCGGTTTCTGTTCACATAAGTAAGCAAGCGAACTTCTGTTCATTGTTTATGTAACATCAGTATGTGGACGATGTGCTGTGGAGAAAACGTGGTGCAGTTTTGTAAATATGGATGTAATTTTAATGGTCCAACAAATTTGTGAAATTAAGATTTTGCCATGTTTGATTTTACGTCCTTTGCATTCTCATCACAGATTATCTTTGTAACGCATAAATGAAGACATAGGAAATCCACACACAAACAGTTATTGTCTCATTGTAAACATTAATACTTTTATTGATTAATGAACTGCAGTAGTTGCATAGTACAGACATCGAGCACGTAAACAGCTCATGTGCAAATCATGCTTCTAAGACTCCTGAAACAGTTAGTGCATTATAGTATAATCAAATACATTATTCCAACTCAACAGCATTCACACTGAATACAATCTATTGCACATATTCACAAGTTCTCCACATTAGATCAAAACAAAACTTTAAGTATTCATATTACACTGAGAAGCTAATTTGACAAATGTAATGTGGAATAAATCCAGATTTTAGTCTCTGAGATTGATTAAATCAAAGGAAAGATGAAACTTATGTTAGTGAGGACCATACTCATTGTTTCTAATTAAACACATTGCATCTGTGCTCATATAGTGCATATTAGTAAAACATTACAATTCACCACATTTCTATCCGACTGTGGACACAAACCGAACCTGTACATTTAGCTGCTAACATGCAGGTTTACAGTAACAATACAATTAATGTGCAAACACTAATACAAATAGTGCAAAACCTCCTACTTTTGCATAGATAAAAAGTAAACATACTGTAGTTTTATTGCACAAAACTCTTCCTGCAGTGATATCTTGATTAAACATATACACAAAAAATAAAAATACAATGTAATAAAGACTGAAATCAAGCTCCAATCTTATACTATTATACACGTATTAGAAATAAAATAAAATGATGTGTGATACATGAAAGTTAGCTGTTAAAAGACCTTATGTAACCACTACATCATTTAGAATCTAATGTGGAAAACAAAGGTTACACAGCCGTTAAACAGACATATACTCTAATATACAGTTATGGGTTGATGAAATGGGCAGAAAACCAGTCAAATAATCTGAAAGATTGATGATAAATTTATAGCTGATGGATCAAGTCAATAAAACATTTTTGACATTGCACCAGAAAAATAATTTCAAATAATCCCGTCACACAGATTGTCAACAATTTGATTGAAACATCTAAAGTTTTACAAGAGACAAATTTAATCGCTAGCTGAAATAAAAATTTATTTTGAATCAAGTTAAGATCTAAGATAAAAGAGAATAAATTGTTAAACTAATCAGTAATACTAATAATTAATTAAAATTAAAAATTAAAAACACCTAAACAACATAATCTGACCTTTTTTTGCTTTTTTTTAATGACTGTGAATCTCAAAAGAGTTTGTGTGTTTGTGAGAGAGAGATGGTGATCTAAGCTCTGACCTACATGAAAATCTAGTGCAGATGTTTCCTGAACAGCTGTGCAGAGCAGTTTCCAAGAACACAGTGTACAACACACACACACACACACACACACACACACACACACACACACACACACACACACACACACACACACACACACACACACACACACACACACACAGTGTCCACTTTGCTAAAGCCAAATGTCAGTTTGTCCACTTGTGTCAAAATCTTCTGTCTTCTGCTTTGTTTCTATCGTCAGTCAGATAAAGATGTTCTGTTGCAGCAGCAGAAAACTGTGACTTTTGTATCCGTTATCAGTTTTAAGATCTGACAGTTTTAACTCTGTCCACTGTCAGGTTGTCGGAAGCGGCTGCTTTCACAGAGTCCGTACTTCCTCCATCATATTACGACGATGTACTCCTGTGTGAAACGAATATCGCTGGACTCAAAGTCACAGTCCCAAGCTGAGCTGAGAGGCAAAGACCAGGTGATTCCCAACTCCAGACTGATCAGAAACCTTAAAAGAAGAGACAGATGAAACAGTTTGTTAGTACAGTACCAGATAAAACATGTTTATCTTCCATAACATGCACAGTACAGACGTACAGTTTTTGGATTTGTTCTTCACTAGTACAAATACACAAACACAGTATGTGGAGCAGCAGAATACATATGTGTATGCATTTTTAATAATGCATTTTATTCAAATTATGTTTGTGAACCAGTTGGCTCAAACCCCTACAATTCCCCAGTTGCTCTGATTCTACCGTGTTCAACTTCACTGCATCTACAGTGCAGGACTGGAGACGACTAAAAGATATAGATCCCAAGAGACCATTCTGGTTAAATAAGCCTCAGAAGAACTGCATCTACACGTGCAATTAATAATCCAACACATGACACACACGTCTAATATTAATTGGGAACAATCAACCTTTTTTGGTCTGTACATATGTAGAAGCTCCTAAAGATGTTAAATATGTGGAAGGGTTGCAGCCGGATCATGTGCACAGAACTAAGGCATGGGCGCTGGAAGACGGGGTGCAGCACCCCCTAAAATCTGGCATAATGAGAACAATTAGTTCATCAAAATGTATACACATATAATGACTTTCTCCTTTTTTTACTGGGACTTACATGTGTACTGTGGGTATTTATAGCAGAAAAGTGGTTTTGCCTTGTTTTTTTTAATCAGTTTTGCTAAAATGTTTGTGTAAAATGTTAATAAGTATTTAACAGGCTATAAATTGTTATAAGTTTGTTACTGACATTCAAATTAATGCAAAAACCATGAATGTCATGTCATTTAGCATTTAATATTACAGCATTTTATAGACAGACTTTCTTTCAGCACCCCCAACTCAGACGGACTTCTGAGTTAAGGCATCATGTATCAGAAAGCTCAGTGTTACTGTTTACTGTATCGTCTTCTGAGAGGCCTTTCCTGCCGTTATTAACACTTTACTGTACGCTCCCATTCACTGCCCATAGATGGCACACTAATAACAGAGGGAGCAAAACTCACAGCCGAGACAGATGAGGTAAAATATGCCCCCCAACCCCCCAAAAAAAACTCAAACTCCAGAACAACCATGTCTGTATTTGCCAGGCTAGACACAAGCTGCTCTCCCAATCACCAACATCATACCTCCCTTCTCCTTCTCCTCTCCTCTGTCCCCCCCCACCCCCACCCCCACTATCATTGTCTGAGCCACCAAAGTGTTTTTTCCCACGCTTTATTTTTCTCCGTCCTGTTTGCAGCCAGGCAGGAGGAGGAGGAGGAGGAGGAGGAGGTGGTCAGGGGGTAGAGGGGTAGAGGGGTAGCGGGGAAGGAGGGGAGGGGGGTAAGAACTGATGGGGTCGCCATGGCAACCCCACATTGGCATGCCCCTGATTGGACATGTGGTGGCTAATTATTCAGCGCATATGCTTAAAAAAAACAATAAAGTAGGACGTATTGAAATGCAGAGCCAAGCATCGCATGGTGTGTGATTAACATATGAGCCCAGCGCTGCTTTTGAAGAAAGACGCCTCAGTTCGCTACATGTAGAACTTAAAAACGTTACTGACTCAAAATGTTTATAATCATATATTTTATGTTAAATAGTTTGGGATGTAACTTCAGAATTAAAAAAAAAATTACAGTATTTCTTTGCGAAATCTAAACTTTTTGTCGTGAACTTTTATATCTTTGTTTAAAAAATCTACTTAAACTAATTACATTTATGTATGGGAAGATTAATAATTCACATATATGCCAATTTGCATGTGAGGATCACCTCAAACTTTACACTGAGGCTGCGAAAACTGAAAAACCAGAGCAGCATGCTAATGGCAGGTTTCTGAGCGCTGGCATGACAGACAAATTGTGTATGTGTTTGCGTGTGTGTGTGTGTGTGTGTGTGTGTGTGTGTGTGTGTGTGTGTGTGTAAAAGGCAGTAGGCACGGAGGGTCTGCTGTGTGAAAGAAACCAGTGGGGTAGGGGTGTTTGTGTCTGTGTGTGTGTGTGAGGAGGAGGGGGGGCGGGAGTTACATTAACAATGGCCGGTATTGTTTACCAATCTCCCTCGTCCATTAATCAGGACGATCCGGGTCTAATTGGAGTTTTGGTTAAGCTGGTCTCCAGACCCCCGTTCCCTCCACTGGCCTAAATAATGGCGTTACGCCACAAGTGCCGCCACACATTGGGGAGGACAATGTGCCGCTTGTCTGAGGGCCCAGGATAGGATCCCCACCCTCTCCTCTTCCCCTCCTTTCTTAGCGCCCCCTGCACCCCCCAAAATAAACCTCACACAGAAACACAAAGAAGGCCTCTCACTATTGAGATCTCACTGTCGCAGGCTCCCTCTCCTTGTCTGTCTGCCCCCCTCTCCTCCTACCCACCCTCCTTCCTTCGTCCAGTCTTCCTAAGTCATTCGCTTACTACACTTTTTCCTCCCATAGGTGAGTCTCTCGTTTCTGGCGGCCTTGGTGATAGTTGGGGGGGTAAACCACATCGAAGGAGGTGATCCTGCTCACTTCTTAATCCCTGCTTAAAGGTTAGCACTGTCGAGTAAAAACCTCATAACAGACATTATGGGAATTTGAATCTGAATCTGTAAAAGTTACGATTTTTCTCAGAACTGTAAAAGCCTTTAAAACCAAAAATGAACCTCAAGATAAGACCAGAAAAGTTGGCATGGTGGTTTTTATATCCCACAGCAACAAAATGAGAAGTAACTGCAGATTAACTTTACATACATTAATGTATATTTACAGTTAAATCCCAGATTTTAAATGCTCCACCAATTCAGAAATCACTGACAGTTGATGATAAATAATTCATACTGCAACACATGTCCTTCTTCATGTTTTCACACCAACTGAGGATAGCATGCTCCTCTTAAAGATATTTATTTATCAAGATATTCATCTGATCTCTTAATCTGAAACCTTTTCAAAACCAAACATGAAAAATACATGATCATAAAGCCAAACAAAGGTCAGAAACTTAGAACATAAAGGTTTTTAGTGTTTCTTTTCCAGTTAAATCTCAAATTTAGACATTCCTCCAATTGGGAAATCAGTGAAAGTTTATGATGCTGTGTCAAATAATCCATAAGGATACAAATATTCTTCTACAAGAGGAAGAGGAAGTGTATTGCACATGTGAGAGAACTAAGTGTGATAACAAGCAGGGATTTATGAAGACCACTATGTTGCTAATTATGGCTCCTTGTGGGTGTCAGGGAGCATGTAGGTGTTTTTCTTTTTTCATATCTTCAAACGAAGCTGTCTGTACATGCCTGCAGCGTAAATATGGTGTGAATGCTCCACATGCACATGAAATAATGCCAGTAAAGCAACTCTTTGTAATCGAAAACCCCTTGGAATAATCAAATTAATGTCCTAATAATCAAACAGTCAAAAAAAAGAGTTTTCAGGGCGTCTGTGGAAGTCTTCAAAATGGTCGATCGCCAGCGTCTGCAGCGTGACGACGGGCACAACGAAAGCGATGCAGGAACCGCAGCTGCCCTTAAAAATGCCAGCTTGCCGACACACAAAAAGCCACTGGCTCTACGGTTTCCTCCTATCTCATCCCTTCCCGCATGTCTCTTGGGGCGATCTCTACAATTAACACACTGGCAGTAATTAACACTGTCTTGAGGCAACCAATGGCGCGGAAAGGATCGGGGGCCAACATGAAGTGGGGGAAGGTGCAGCGCTGGCTATCCACGTTCCCCTTTCTCAGCTGCCATTTTGTGCCAGTCTTAACACCTAAGATGGTGGCAGGACTGTGACTTGCCGTGTGGGAGAGGAGGACAAACTGGCAAGGGAGGGGTTGGAGAAGAGGAGGATTATGGGATTGAGGAGAGAGTCTCTTATTTTCATTCTTCTAGTCGGTACATTGCTGAACGGTTACCAAGACGGGGGGGGGGGAGGCGGAGAGACAGAAAGAGGCATGATCGTCAGATTGCTGCCCTACATGCACCACACATAGAGGAGGAATTCTCCCACACATGGACACAAAGACACACACATACACACACACTCACACACACTCACACGTCAGAAAGGAAGAACAAAGTGTTTATACAGTGTGGGCACGAAACACAACACCCTGTGATGGTCTGTTTGTGTAAAAAAAAACAACGTGTAATTTACATGTGCTTAATATATGCCGCACACATATGAACACACACATGTGCCCATGCATGAACACACACACACACACACACACACACACACACACACACACACACACACACAAACAACCAACACAGCCGTTCTCATGGTATGGTCTGCCCCTGAGCATGCAAATGACATTCATTATGCAAATGCATACAAATCAGAACCAACCATCTGAGAATCCAAGCTGGGAAAAAAACGAAAAGAATAAAATTAAATGAATGAGGGGAAAAGCACAGAAAAGAAAGAAGAAGCAATTTGGGAAGTGTGCATGTGGCAAGTACTATGACACATCAAGGTACCAAAACCATGTGTGAACACGCGGTCAACAGAAAAATAGCTTATAACTTATATTTTTTGTAAGGTTTAAAAAAATATAAAAATCTGGATGAATCTCAAGTATAACAACTTAAGCTGCAGGCGTTAGAAATGTATACACAGATGCATTAAAGGGAAGCAGAATTTGGAAGTTTTAAGATCAATTAAGTATATTAAACAGTTCCTACAGCCTTATTTTCACTTAAGGGACTATTCCATCTGAATACACTTTGTGCATCGTTACACCACAAACAGCTGAGTGTCGATGGCGCTTCAGAGGTTTGAGAGGACAGACAATTTTATAAAGATTTTTTGTTCCCAGATCGTATTTATGCTTGACAAAGTTACACTAAAATGGGAGATGAGATGACAAACACGCACACTATCTACCCATACTGCCTTGTTGTGCCCCACTGACACCACACTGTTGCCTTGTTTGTAACAAAGTCTATTGAGTGCTTTAGCAGGAAAAGCAGAAAATCAACTGCAGAAGAGCATCAACTGGAGGGGAGATGCTCCAAATGATGGCAAAGTGCTGCTAATTGCCTCTCGAGGTGTTCTTTGTTTTGTTTCACCTCTCTCACCACCATGGCTCCTGTAGGACATGCTCTCTAAAACCCCTGAAGAGCTGCACATTATCATCCTTTTATGAATCATCCAAACCCAGGACTCGCCAAAAAAATAGAGGACATGGTTGTGTGCTTTCGCTCCGTGTAGAAAGAAGCTGATGAGGCTGGAGGCTCTCTTGCTCGGTTATTAATTACGATATTTACGTGGATGAAATACATGTAAAGAATGTAACAATAATCATCATGTGCCCTCGCTCTCTGCTTGTTACAATTTTGCAGGTATCTGAGTATGAGCTCTACAGCTCCATGTCTCAACCTTGTGTTGTTCACACCTCATCTAACAACTACAACAACAAATGTATTTTTCCCAACTAAAAAAAAAAAGGATTCAGGCACAAAAAACTGTGTTAAAACCAAAATTTTGCCAATTATCTAGCATTCATGAAAGGGCTAAAAAAAAAAGACTAATTAGAAACAGATTGGCCCCAAATTCTTACTCAAAACGAAGTGCAATAAGACAAAGAAATTCCTGAGTGTGCGGTTTGTGTTTATGTTTGTGTTTGCCTGAGAAGGAGAGGCCTATGAAAAAAGGAGAGGTTCGGCATTTTCTGGACAAAAGTTAAAATCAAAATCAGTGTTTTTGTTTAATATAATTTATCCCAACATCTTGTCCAAACTGTAAACTCCCTTATTCTTATTCCTATTCTTCTTCTTGAAATAACTGTGCAAAAGGATTGCTTCATTCTTCATTGATGTTGAATTTACATTGATAATTTTTTTCAGATACAAAACCCCCCAAAACCAGCCAGGTGAAGACTTTGTTAGCATCCGCACAGGAAACCTGATGTAATTTGATTTCTGATCAGTAGGAGAGGCCTCTAACTGGGGAAAAAACCCCAAAGACTGGAAACAACTAGGGGAAGCCATGAATCTCTCTGTCGGTTCTGTATCCTTTTCATACTAGAAACTATCTGAAATGTCCAATTTTGGCTACACAGTTTGGTCTAATGTGGTGCACTGAGGAGGATAAAACCCTGGGAACAAAGTTGAAAATAAGTCGAGTCCTCGTATGTCAGCTGTTTTGGTTAAAACTAGACAATACTTGAATTTGCCCCTAAAGTCTGTTCTTTAAAGCTTTAACCCTATATGGTCACTCATTACAGAGACTCAGAAGTATCTTAAAGTCAGTAAAATTTTCATTGCATTGAACTTTTTGTTCATTTGATGAATTTCCTCCTGAAGCGAGATGTTTGGACAGAATATGAAAGGATTCATTCAAAACTAGTAAAACAAAGGGATGTCATTTACGGAGAGGAAGGCAGTTTTACAGAATTTCTGTGACCATACTTTTGGTTCTAACATTTATGTGTACACACCTAAATATTCTCTGTTTTCAAGGAGATAAAAAAACATTTTGGATGTAAAAATACCACAAAGTTTTGACCTTTTCTCCAATATATCTTTCAACAGGAGCAGGTGTACATATTAATAGCTATATCTGTTATTTCAGTGGGACATTAAGTGCATATTTAGGGAAGGACAAATAAAACTAAAATGTTGAGCTCATCATCCAGTGGTTTGAAATAAAAAAATATTAAAATATTCTCACTCAAACTAACTCACACACACTATCATCCTGTCAACCAACGGCAGCACAATACACCTCACCACTGCAGTATCACTGTGGTTTGTATGTACAACAAGCAACGAGCAGAAAACACTTTACTCTAATTACAATTAGAGTATTGATTATTTGTGTTGCCTGCTGCACATTAGATCATCTATTAGAGGCCCCCCCCACCCCCCCCACCCCCTTATGTCACACAGCTTCATACCTTCACGTCATCGGTTGGCAACGTCCATCGTCCAAGCCCACTCCTCTCTGCTCGTGTGTTGTTTTTTTTTAAAAATTGGTTGTTTTGTTCCTCCATGCAGGCGTGTAATGGGATTCTTGTTACTTTCGGTTATCTAGCTTTATGAAGAATGTACGTCACTCATACAGCTAGATAACCAAAGATAACAGACAACCCCTCAGGCCTGCGAACGCAGCTCACACACACACAACCTCCGACACACCTGTAAGGACCAACAGTGACAATGCTGAAAGGGCTGATTCAAAACAATGCTAATTCACTTGCACATATTTCAGAGGTAGAAATAATGACAATAATAGTCATAAATCTGGAAGTGTTAGTGCAGATGATTTATCACATGGTGTTAAAAACGCCTCAGTGAAATGAGATGAAAAACAAGCATGACTAAAGATTCACAAGGGATACTGCTGGGAAAACACATTTTCCAAGCTATTAAGTGTTTTTTATATGACTGAAATGTGAATGGGTTCTTATAGGAATTCAAAACAAAGCATTATAGCCGACTATCCAGTGAACTAAAGACAACAACAATAAAGATGTTTATGAGGGGCATCAGAAGCTGAGCATAAAATAGCACTGAGGGGAATAATTTACACAAACACTCCTGTAAAGAAAATATTACTGCAGAATACAGAAGAGGAAATCCCTTGAAAATATAGCACAGGCACTCACTTTGGGTAAATACTCAGTTACTGTATAAAGGTGTATAAAGGTATTAAGACTATTTTAAAAATAAAACAGAATGCAGACAAGATTAACTTTTATAAATCTTAAATGTTTGTCTTCCTCTCGTTATTTACATCTTAAAATACTACTTTATATTCACCCTGAGCATTATTCAGGTAGAACTAACACACTTCACACATCCTCAAAATATTCTCTAAACATACTGTTTTAAAAACTGTAAAAAAAATCCAATTAAGAAAAGGAATTAGTTTGACATGTTGCTCAGAAGGACAAATGTGTAATCTTCATCCAACTGTATAATGTATAGAAGTGAATTGATAAATGTGTGGCAGTGATTGCGGATTTTATTAATTTACCTTCCTTTCATTTTTGGACCCTTACATCTTTATTACATATTTATGTTTTCATAAATATTATAAAATATTTGCTCTTTTTAGTTTATTTGGAGTATATATATATTTACATTCAGATATAAATTATTAAATACTAAAATCTTACATCAGTGTGTCTCTCTGCAGTGATATATATATATATATATATATATATATAGAATATATATAAAAAGCTTTTCTCTAATTTCTTTCCCCCATAAAATTATTTTCATTAATAGCTTTTGGTGAGAGGGTGAGTGACGTCACAGGCATCGCTGGCTTTCAATTAGTGCGTTAGCAGCGAGGTGTGATGCCTAATTAACACACACACACACACACACACACACACACACACACACACACACACACACACACACACACACACACACAGTGGAGAGTATGTTCTTTCTGACAAATAACTGAAAATAGGCCACTGCACACACACACACACACACACACACACACAGTTAAGGCTGCAGGTTGTTTACAGAAAGGAGGGGAAATGCAGATAAAGATGTTAGAGACAGAATTTAATGCTACATTTTATTTTATAGTTACTCTCCTTTAAACCAGAGATAGGTGAACTATATGCAAGATTTGTATTTCTGACAAAAAAAATGAATGAATAAATCCATTAGTGGAGATCACGTTGTTGTTTTTATGTTTGCAGGAGGCCGTGAAAAAAAACACACACACACACACACACACACACACACACAATTAACAGCCTGTTATTTTCTCTTCTGTGTGTGTGTGTGTGTGTGTGTGTGTGTGTGTGTGTGTGTGTGTGTGTGTGTGCGCGCAGTGGCCTATTCTGTTGGAGTGTCGAGCTGCTTACAGGATAAATAAAGTTATATTGAATTAAATTCTGTGAATACATTAAATTTGTCCCAGTCGGGTCTCTAAGTGTATGTGAGTGTACATTTTAAAGGGATAAAATTAGACTTTAGTTTTCAAGTTGCGTTAAATGTTCGTCTGTCTGAAGCTGCAGTGGACACAGTAATTGTCAGGAAGACGCGTGTGTAGCTATTTTGCTGTCCCTCTAGGATAAATTTCAAAGAAAATTATTATTATTGCAACAGTTTATTTTAATTTATACAATTTTTTTTTTTTTTGGTGTTATTCAGCTCTCTCTGCCAGGTGCAAGAATGAGCTTCCTCTTGATTTAAAGCAGGTATTAAACACTGAGCACTGCTGACTGTAAGTTAACGGCTCAAGTGAGGCGACTTATCTCCTAAATACCCTCAATTAAAGCGATATCTGTCTTTTCTTTTAATTGATATCTGATGCATTCTGGATGCAGAGAAAGCACAGACACAGTAGGTATTAAAAGTCCTATAGGCCTATACTATAAAACATTAAAATAAAATGATAAAGAAAAGAATAAAATACATTAGTGGCGTTGGAACTAACTATAGGTACCGCGGAGCCTCAAGTCCATAAAGGGAAATTACACTGAAAGTTTTTCGTTCAAGGTAATTTGGCAGCAATACAGTGAAAAACGTTCTACTTTTAATAGATTGTCAGGACCATAAAAGGCTGCTGTAAATGCTGCAAAATGTGAGCGGAACAGTCGCGTCCACAAAAAAAAAGGATCCAGAAAGGATTTAAAACTGATTTCCAGGAGTAATCAATTAGTTCCACACAGCGTGCTGCTGCTGCTGCTGCTTGATTGTGTATGTGTGTGTGTGTGTGTGTGTGTGTGTGTGTGTGTGTGTGTGTGTGGAGGTGAGAGACGTGATGTTGTATCTCACTCTGGATTTTTTCCTCATGTTGAAAAAAGCTGTAAACCAGTTTAAGTCACATGCAAAGACATCGGTGGGGGGGGGATTGAGCGTCGATAGTAAATCCATGAAAGCTATGACGGATCATCACAAGAGAGATCATTCATATTCACCTGGAAGTTGGAGGAAGGTCCTTCATCTTCATTTCGGCTGCTTTTTTAAGTTTCTGCAATTAAAAAAAAAAGGTAACATGACTTTGGGGGATAGAAAAAAGTCCACTGAAATGTCCCAGAAAGACAAAAAAAAGCAGGCTGAATAACACACTAACACATTTCACTCCCCCCCCTCTCTCTCTCTCTATGGAAAATCCCTGGAAAACACCCTACGTGGGAAATCTGCCTACTAGGTCACTGAAAGCCCCAAACGAGTCCAGTTTGCGTTGCTCAGCAGGGTCGGAGCTCTGCACCTGCAGCTTCACTGACTCTGCAGCAGAGAGAGGCTCCTGAGATGCTGCTGCAGACCCACAGCGGTCCCTTTTCAAATTAGAGCCACAGACTCGTGTCTCCACATGTCCTCTAACTTGTGATCCATTGTCTCATTCGTGGCTTTAGGGGAGGGGGATTTAATGGGCGAGGTCAATAAACTCTGGGTCGTATTATTGTTATTATTATTATTATTACTATTATATCTGGATTCACTTGTTCAGTCCAGGTGCAGAGTCATGTTTACTGCACATGATATCCTAACCCGATTCATGTCTTCATTTTGGAGACTAATTCCCTCTCTTTGCGTCACCCGGCCTGGACACGAGTGGGTTATGCAGTTCAGGGGCCTCAATGATGAAGCGAAATACATTAAGAGATCTCTTGCACGTGTAATAAAATCTAATCTCAAATCTCCTGCAAAAAAATATCTATAAACATCTGTTTTATTAAGTCCAAACATATAGTAAATAAACAGGGAAACTTCTCTGGGGCTGCCTCACTGTCAGAAATGAATACAATCATTATAAATATATAATGTAGATATATAGAAAATGTTGAGTAATGATTATAAAAGAAATGAAACATACATGAGAGGGAGGTCTGACTCCCCACTCACACAGATTAAGCAGGCCTTATGTAAGAGCTCTATACTGGCAGTGTACTGTATAATCCCAGCAGGCTGCACGAAGCCGCGTTAGAGCCGCACGCTGCTGGGTTCATGTACAATAATCACCTTTATGCTTTTTTTTTTTTTTTTTTTTTAAATGCTTTCTCCCTGCTTAGCACTTTCAGTACGTAATCTGTTGACAGCAAACAGGCCCAACACAACACAACACAACACTGTGCTGTGAAAGGTTGCACCGCCCGAGGCCACTCTGACACCACCGCAGGCCTGTTACAGACCCACTGCAATATTGTAATTGCACTTCAGTAACATATGTAGTAAGGGTTTACTGTCTCTTCAGTTTGTAACCTAAACTCGTGGAAATGGTGCAACATGAACTTATGTAATGCTATTGGATAGTAACGAGAGCATATGGCTGATAAGGGGTCAGCGTCTCTGATAAGACTCAAATTTAAATTCAACATCGTTTTATTGGCAGCAAAGACACCACACATGTGTTGCCAAATAAGAGCTTAAAGTTAAAAAAAAACCGAATAAAATCCCCCTAATTGTTGCGGTATTATCTAGGAGTTATCACTTATTCAAAATGTGGGTTAAACAGACAGAAAGCTGGGAGCAAAATCAACATTAATACCAATAAAGGTTTCTGTAAACTAATCTAAAGGCCTGACTGACTGATCACCTCAGAGAAAAGCCCACTAAACTCACTGTTTGAAATTGCTGACTGCTGACATCTGACCATGGGAGCATGAAGTCAAACTCCCTTGAACATGTAGTATCTGGTGCCAAACAAAAGTGGTTGCAGCCACAAGTGAAACTACACGTCTGTGCTGCTGCGATCAGATGATGCTCTTTATCTCAGATGCTGCCGCTGCGCGCAATTCACACAGACCTTAAACTGGTCTGAGAACAGAACCAGCCTCACTGGGAGGGAAATGTAGAACAGATTTAGTCTTTAGTCGGCCTGTGGATCCTCACTTATTTCACAATAGGGTAAAACACACAGTGTGTTACAGCCTAAACGCGCCTGAGCTCGCCATAGAAACCCTCCGCTGCGCCGCTCCGGCTGCTTTTTGTTTAGACTCAAATCCAAAAAAAAAAAAAAAAATCACTCATAATACAAAACACGGTTCTTACTGTTTCCTCCTCAGATGCAGCAGGGTGGGTTGCACTGGGCTTGGATGAGCTCCTGGAAGGCAGCGGTCCCTCCGGACGTGCGGCATGCTGGGAGCCAAGTGAGCGCGTTCATGAGCGGCGTACTGAGCTTTGTGGCGACGGCGCATCGTGACGTCCCGCCGGCCACGTCCATTTTTTTAATCTAACGGGTCCTCTTGTTTTTTTCCGCGCATATCGTCACACGGCTGTCCTCCACATCCACAGCCCCCGTCCTCCCCTCACCAAACAGGAGAGTTGGGGCTGTCCGCCTGGATGGTTACATCTCCAGCACCCGTTGTCTCCAAATGGTTTAACGTCTCATTTGTCCAAAATCATATACGCCGTCCAAGGCCCACCCCCCTGTGAGTCAGTGAGGTAACACTGTTCCCACCCTCTGAGATTTTTTGATATTATGCAAGACGGCCGATGTAATTATAATAAGGACCTATGACAGCGCCTCTCACGCCCCCCAACAGGCGCATGCAGAAGTGCATGGTGGCACCATCATTCATTCATCCAGCATCCCTCTAACTCCTTATAGGGGCTTTCACTCACTGTGCGTTTCATCTGCATGACTTATCCCGGCAATATCCTGTATATCCATATAATGCAGACGTATAGAGAGTTGTTTAAAGGCCAGTAAAGAGATATAAATCTTATCATCATATTTCTACTCCGAGGATAAGAGCTCATGATGTTAAAGTGCTCAAATAATGTAATATTCTGTCCTTGAAGTACATGTTTAAATTGGCTGTAGGGGAATGGGTTTTATTCATGAACATACTGCAGACTTCACCATTACAGGGGGAAAAACGGAACTATAATTTTCATATGGTTAAATGTGAAAAGTCATGTCTATGTGTTTGGTTTCTTACCCAGATTTGACATATCTCAAAGATGTTGGTGTCTGCAGCTGAAACTTGCAGAGAGACAGACTCTAAAGGCGCTCCGGCTTGCCTAATTATCATGATAATAACACCAGAAATCTTTTGAGTCAATGAAAGACGAATCCTCTCAAAACCTTATTGTGTAAGGTCTCAGTCTGTCTGTATGTGTTGGTATAGCCTGTAGACGGTGCTCATCATTTGCATTAGATAAAGTTAACTCAGTCATGTTGATCTGTCTAGACCACATCAGTGTGTGGAGATGCCTTCACACACAGGCCGCACTGTTGCATCTCCCACACACTGCAGACATACAAGTCCCACAGTTGAGCTTAAAATACTAAATATACATTTTTGGTACCACTTTATAATAATAATAAGCATTATAATGGTTTATAAATTGTTGTTTTGTAGGCCTGATGGTTAACAAAGCATTATAGATCAGATTGTAAACCATTAAACACATTTGTTTTTGCCAGGTTGTGGAAAATGCCCTTGACTGATTGTGCCATGTGACTATTTACCTGCCAAGAGGTTGCAGAGGCTCTGGACCAAAATCCATTTATTGACAACTTAACAAGCAGCAACATTTATATTATTAGAGTTTCACAACCTGGCAACCCAAAATCTGAGGCATAAAACCGAGGTAAATGATTTATCAGCTATCAATAAAGCTTCTCTATAACTTCTCTATTAAAGGGAAGTTTATTATTAGTAGTAAAGTTTATTCTCTCCTTTCCCACATTTTATGGCTTCATCCTATTTAAAGAAGTTCCCACATAAGGTGTTGTTAAGGTCTAAACACACGTTAAACGACACCAAAAAACAAATATAAACGCATCTTAATCTCATCAGATTGTCTTAATGGTACAGTCGGACCGGTGGAGCTGTTCGGTAACCCCGGAGACAGACCTCTCCGGTAACGGCCTGACAGACATTAACGTACAATGTACGTCCTCCGCCGTAAGCACGGGAAGCAGACACGTTTACTGAGCTGTGGTGAGATATAACTGAAGGTCATTATAAACAGAGACCCTCAAAAAACAACAAGCTCACAGTGGCGCGCTCACACCAACACCTGCGCGCACCTCGTTGCCAGGAAACCGTTGTGATATGGTCCAACTGGTCCGTTTCCATTCAGGAGACTTTACAGTGTAAAAAGTCAACATATGTAGTAGCTGCTATAGTAATAGACTATAACCTACAGTATAGGCAGCTGCCATATGGAGGCTTGTGTTATTAGTCTAATATGTTAACACTGCAAGTCTCAGTGCTCAGATATGATTTATTTGGTTTTGTTTGGCCAGTTCATGGTCCTATAGAGGGATGTAAAAGTCACATGAGTTGGTCACTTTGCAAGAAAATTAGTCCAAATAAGTGTCCCAAGTCAGAATTAAGAACATCAGATCCCATTTGATTTGTGCTGTTGTTGTTTGAGTCACATATGAGTAAAACAAATCTTCCAAAATCAGATTTGGGCCACTTGTTCCTGCAGTGTGAACGTAGCCTATTGCCCCAAATCGCAAGTTTGTCTGTGAGGGGCTTTATAACATCCTTAACCCTTCAATCCAGTTGGAAAAAAAACTCCCCCAAGACTGGGAGAAACTCCTCAAAATCATAGGCTACTTAATTAAAAGTATTCCCTAAAGGCTAAAAATATTCTTTATATAGGCTACAGAAAAAGTGTCATATTGCATTTTTATTCCTGATGTAGGCTATTGATGTAACCTATATGCACCATTTTACTGTAATGGTTGGTTGAGATGGAGATAATTTCAACTAACTTTATATTGTTAGGGAGTTTAATCTATAACAACACATCATATTTTATTTTGAAATCGTATGTTTTGTAGTAAAATCTGTAATGATTGGCCTCTTAGGTGTAAGCCTATACTGGGGGAAAAGAACTGGCTACTGAAGTAAAGAAGGCCTATGATACAATAAGGCAAGTTGTACTTCAGTAAATCCCACTTATAGTTAAATACTAAAATGAAAGCTTTGGGGCTGTAACCTTGTGTGTGGCCAGCGTCCATGAAGAAAGTGTTTTATTGAACTTCAACTGCAATATTTAGACAGTAGTACAGTGAATATAAACTATGGTTGCCACGGTAACGGAACACAATCCAACTTATGTCGCCATAAAACTGTTTTTCTGATGCACAGTAGGCCCCACTGTTATTTCTTTTATACTGACTTTGGTTTCCTGACAAAGTGGCAAAAAAAAAAAAAAAAAAAAGATAGCTTGTTGCCCTGTTAGTTATTGTAACGCGCGCACAGGCCGTGAGAAGCAGACAGTCTTTTGGCTGGTGGGTCACAGTCTGTCTCAGACCCTCCGACAGCAGTAAAGCACCCTCACCATCCCTCCATTGTTTTTACTGCTGCCAGCCCAGACACCCTGCAGGCTCCACTCAACGGAGAGGCGGCGCACGCACATTGCGACAAAACCATCGCTTTTACGCACGATTATGAGCAACGTGTCTGTACAGTTAAAGGTCCTAAAAAACAAAACCCCTCCCCTGTTATTACTGTAAATATGAGTTGTAATACTTTTGCCTGACCACAAGGATTCAGTGTGTGTTTGTTTGTGCCCGTTCATGCAGCGACCTCGCACCCTTTCACCCCCACGTCGCGCCAATATTCAAATTGGGAACCTCTGATTTGAATAGGAGCTTAATGAGACATGGTGGTGTATAATAAATGAAAGAGGAAGGCGGGGTCCTTCATGAGATTGAAGGCGAAGAGTTATTTTAGAAAGGAGAAGTTTGCATATTATAATTTTTAAAAAGCCAAACAATAACTTGCGATAGTTCCAGTTAAATGATAAACCTGTGAAGGATAAACTCAAACTGGGCTTTTGTATGAGTCCAGGAGAAAATATTACAATATTTTACTGGTGGATTATAGTGAGGAAATCCTACATATTATATATATTATATATATTAAAGCTCTCTCCTCCTTCCAGTGGCATGCTCCTCAGAGGATGAAGTCAACTTGATCCATGAAGAGGACCACCAGCAAGCTCTCCATCACCTTCTGGGTTCAGAGGACTCCTTGTGTTAAATGTGTTCAGTCAGATAATTTACATAGTGTAAACCATCAAAGTGAACGCAGATCTTTGCTGTCGTGAGAAACTGGAGGCTGGAATCTGTAATTTAAGGAGGTAAAACCAGGAGATGCGGGGACACTAAAGCTGCAGACTTCTTAGTATTTATTTATTTATTTGAGTGAAATTTAAAAACTTTTTTTACTGCTTGTTGAAATCCCTACAACCTCCAGAGGATATTTTATGCAGCCTTTTGTTTTCCTGATTTATGGAATAGTGATGCTTTTCTTGGCATTCCAATAATCGCTTATGCTGCTACACTAGAGGAAAGAGGTTGTAGGTCTTGTTGCTTCCTTTAGTCCCTCTTGTGTCTCCTTCAGTTCACATACGCTGAAGGGAGAGCAGAATCAGATCTGTCTTTCCTGCCTGTTGGACATGTGTCTGAGCAGTTAATATATAGCTTTAGTTAAACATCTTGATGAACCTTGAACATGCTCAACTCCTCTTTGTCACATACACCATATTCTTGTTTATTTTACGTTGTTTATTAAAGGATCCTAGTTGCCAAACAAAAAGTCTTTTTTGGGTCTATATATAACACACTGGACAATAATTACATTGAACATATAAGAAACAAAAGTCTAGAAGTGTTTTTTTTTTTTCAGGCCTTTTGAAAGCTGATTATTATTAAAGTCCTACAGCTCAATCTCCTGAGTGAATTATATAACTGATGTGACCACTACAAGTAATTCTATAGTTGTTTGTTTTAAAGTGGACGTTGCTTTAAGGTTTTAGTTGTATATTGATGCCTTATGCATGCAAATGACTCTGCTGTCAACCTTCGATTACTTGTATTGAATGACAGTAAAACTGCCAGAAGAGACTGAGACTATTCACTTATTATTCCATAAAAGTGTGTGATACTGAATGTGAAAAGACAATGATTGAGTGATCAATCCCACATTTTTTTGTACATTTTATGGTAAAACACATTATTTTAGTATTAAAATCAGTTTATATGAGAATTTTAATGACTTGTAGCCTAGTTTTTTTTTAAGGTACGGACTGTAAAATGTGGGCCTACACACTTTAAGTTCACCATTAACTCCCTCCAAAAAGAATTAAATAAATAAAATAAGACTGATTATTTATTTATTTATGTTAATCATTAAGGTTTGTTTGTATTTGTATACACAGGGGCTACTTATGAACCCTGTTGGGTTTTTTAAAGTACATTAGTCTGTAGTCTAATATAATATTTAAAACTTTTAGATTTAATCTATGAAATATTTAATGTTCCTAAAACCAACAGTAGAACATCTTTCGTTTTCATCACAACCAGGAAACTGAAATAAACTCAATTGAATTTGGATATTAACGTTA